AGGACATACAGTACTGACAGTTACTATACCCATGGGGTGTGGTGATGAATGGATCCCCGACCACAACTTTTTGAGAAATATCTACATTTTCTAATTTTTGTTACAATAAACATTTTTCTTAAGGAAGTATATCTGAGCCTTGACTGTGATTAAACAATCTGTGATTAATCTCAAAATCAAATTACCTGACTCAAAGGTGGAATGGAACTTGTCTGAGAAGTGGTTTGAGATATAGGACCGTTCATCTGTAAAGTTGAAAACAAAGACAACATCAGTACAACATTAAAAAAAAAAAACAACACCACATGTCTTCAAACCACAGTAATAGGGCCAAACTAAACCCACTGAGAAATGCACATTTTACATGACAAATTTGTGAGTTCATAAGATATTCAGAAGGTAGGAGGCTTAAAATTTTTAAATTCTGAATGAACATCATAGATAAAGTTCTTTGTAGTTTCATTAGGGAAAACTAAGAAAAGCTACTTTTCTCAAAGCCATTTTGGAACTTTAAATATTACTGCTTGACATAAAATTTTTAAATGAACAAAAGTAGTCAAAAAAATTTATATTAAAATCCTAACTCTTTAAGTACATCCTACTATAGTGACTATAATGTTATTAAAGTATTTACAAATCACTACATAGCCTCGATTTAAAAAATAAATGGCTTTAAGTATCTAGAGTTATAACAATTTTGTTTTTGTTATCACCTACTACTTATAGTTTCCTCTACAAAGCTACCTATACATTTTTCAGACTGATGGGGCTCAGGACTTCCTCCCCCAAAAATACGGCACATTGACATTTGAGGAAACAGCAGAATCAGGCCAAGGAAACTAGAAAGAATTCTCCTTACCCCTTCTCCCTCGAAGCAGGCCATAACACAGCCAACATTTCCCTAAAGACCCTTCCAGAGGGGCCCTGCTTTGTACCAGGAGGAATATCACACAGGGATGTCAAGAAAAACCTGAACACACCAGCCTTGCTAAGTTTCTCCAGTTTATTAGCTCTAAGTCACATCCCTTCTGTCCAATCATGCTTCTCCACACTGGCAACATCTGCATCAGACTCCGTAAAAAAAAAAACACAGTTTTCCCTATTTCTTGGGTTCTTCCTTTGTGGAGGCTCCTATGTCACATACAACTTATTACTAAATACACGTGTATGCTTTTCTCTTGTTTATCTGTCTTTTGTTACGGGGGTCTCAGCCATGATCCTCAGATGGGTAAGAAACCTGTTCTCCCCTACAAGACTCTAATATCCATATGCAGATCCTAAGATGTGCCAGTGTTCCTGTTGAGAGCCCCTTACTAACTCCAGTAGAGAATCCTTTATCAAAATAGCAATGGACTCCCCAGCACCCCATTCGACAGCACCCACCAGATGAGCACTGTCCTTGCCCTCCTGGACTCTCTGCGTCTGCGGTTCAGCCACAACCTTAGCGTCCTGATCAGAAGTCATGGGCTCCACTGGGAGAAGTGTGATGCTAACCTCAGGATGCTGTAAAATGGCAAAGACATTAAACAGGTCATTTGAAGGGCACAGTATGATTATTTAAATAAAATTAAAATCCTTGAGTTTTCCAGCACACACGTTTATCCCTCTGAATTTAAAAAAGTTTAAAGAAGTCTGCCCATATGCATACCTTACTTACCAAGAAGTGAACTTAATTTTTTAAATAAGTTTCTTCTTCACACCATTCTGGTGAAGATGACCACACCAGGAAACTTGGAAACCCACGTGCTGACACAAATAAACCCATTTGTGCCTGAAAACTCAAGTATTTTAAAAAAACAGAAAATTGAGGGCTTAATAGCCAAGATACATAAGGAACTTGCACCACTCGATAGCAAAAAATAAATAACCTGATTAGAACATGGTCAAAGACACGAATAGGAGTTTTTCCCAAGACAACATAAAAATGGCAATAGAAATACGAAAAAGTGCTCAGCATCACTAATTATTAGGGAGATGCAGAATAAAACCACAATGCTATTTCACCTCACGATGTCAGAATGACTACTACCAGTAAGACAAGAGATAACAGGGCATGGAAGAAACAGAACCTTTGCACACTGTTGGTGGGAATGTAAACTGGTGCAGCCATTATGAAAACAGTATGGAGGTTGCTCAAAAATTTGAAAATAGAACTACCATATGATCCTTTCTGAGTATTTACCCGAAGGCAATGAAATCACCACCTCATAAGAATATCTGCACCCCCATGGGGATCGCAGCATTATTCACAATAGTCAAGACACAGAAACCACCTCATTGTCCATCAACGGACAAATGGATATAGAAATCGTGATGTGTGTATATGTCTGTCTATGCTATGGAATGAAATATTGTTCAGCCTTTAAAAAGAAGGAAACCCCGTTGTATGCTATAACATGAGTTAATCTGAAGGCTATTGGCCAAGTGAAACATGCCAGCACAAAAACACAAATACTGCATGATCTCACTCATATGTGAAAGCTACTATCTTAACAAGTCAAACACATAGAAACAGAATAAAATGGTGACTACTGCCAGGCACGGTGGCTTAAGCCCATAATCTGGGAGGCCGAGGCAGGCAGATCACCTGAGCTCAGGAGTTCGAGACCTGCCTCACCAACATGGAGAAACTCCGTCTCCACTAAAAATACAGAATCAGCTGGGCGTGGTGGTGCATGCCTGTAATCCCAACCACTCGGGAGGCTGAGGCAGGAGAATCACTGGAAATCAGGAGGCAGGGGCTGTGGTGAGCTAAGACAGTGCCATTGCACTCCAGTCTGGGCAACAAGAGTGAAACTCCGTCTCACAAAAACAAAACAAAAAACAAAACAAAAAATGGTGACTACCAGGGGGCTAGCAAGTAGGGAGGAAATGAAGAGATCTGTGTCATGGGTACCAAGTTACAGATATTTTGGCTGAGTAAGTCTGGAGATCTAATGTACAACACGAGGCCTGCAGCTGTAATACTGTATTGTACACCAGAAACTTGCTGAGAGTATAGTCTAGGTGCTTTTAGCAACACAAAAGAAGGGTAAAATTACATGAAGTAATGGCTATATTAATGGGCTGGACTCTAGTAACCATTTCACTACGTATATCAAAACACCTCATGTACACACAATTAAAAAAAAAAAAGGTCAGTTGTGGTGGCTCACACCTATAAATCCCAGCACTTTGGGAGGCCAAGGCAGGTGGATCACCTGAGGCCAGGAGTTCGAGACCAGCCTGGCCAACATGGCGAAACCCCATCTCTACTAAAAATACAAAAATGAGCTGGGCCTGGTGGCCATGCCTGTAGTCCCAGCTACCCGGGAGGCTGAGACACTAGAATTGTTTGGATCTGAGAGAGGCAGAGGTTGCAGTGAGCTGCGATGACACCACAGCACTCCAGCCTGGGTGACAGAGCAAGACTGTCTCAAAACACACACACACACCACACACACACACACACACACACACACACACACACACACACACACAGAAAATTACAAAGTTAATAGGACTCCAGAAATAAAAACAGTTGTTGATGAATGCTAAATTTAGATATATTTAAGTGTCCTCACTTAACATCATCAATAGGTTCTTGGAAACTGACTTCAAGTGAAAGGATGTGTAGCAAAATCAATTGTACCACAGGCACAAACAAGGGTTAAGTTCCTACAGCATATTTCCAGTCACAAAAATATCACCAAACTTCTAAATAAAGACCCAAAACTCCTTCTAACATTTTCAAATGGCAATAAATATGAGCCACACACATTTTTAAAAGATTAACAAGAAAGACAATTATGTACCTAATTTCTGGTGAGTCAGAAAGTGACAGTGGTCACAGTGGTGATGTAACCACCACTGGAGTTAACCAACCAAGGAATAAATGCTTGCAAAGTGAAAACTGTAAAAATATTATGGCAGGGCGCAGTGGCTCACGCTTGTAATCCCGCACTTTGAGAGGCTAAGGCAAGCAGAATGCTTGAGCCCAAGAGTTGGAGACCAGCATGGGCAACAGGGCGACACCCATCTCAACACAAAATACAACAATTAGCCGGGTGTGGTGGCATGTGCCTGTAGTACCAGCTCCTTGGGAGGCTGGGATAGGAGGACCACCCAAACCCAGGAGGTGGAGGTTGCAGTAAGCTGAGATCGCACCACTGCACTCCATCCTGGGAGACAGAACAAGATTCTGTCTCAAAAAATAAAAATACAAAAAGAATATTCATATCACCAAGCAGTTAAAAAACAAACTAATGATGACAAATAAGGCAGGCTCACTGAGCACTTTATTCATTGTACATTTATATTATTATAGTAGACTTTATGAATTTTTGTTTCACAATAATTTATATTCATTCATTTCCCAACCTGCTTATTCCAGTTCAGGGTGATAGGTGGCCAGAGCCTATCCCAGCAGCTCAAGGAGCAAGGTGGGAACCAGCCCCAACAGGACACTATCCCATCACAGGGCCACTCACACACATACCCACACTCACTCACTCAGACTGGGACCAGGCAGACACGCATATCCACCTAACATGCACACCGTTGGGATGTGGGAGGAAACTAGAATACCCATAAAAAAAACACATAGACATGCAGAGAACATGCAAACTCCACACAGACAGTAGTCCTGGCCAGGAATTGACTTCTTTCTCATAATGTTGA